AAGAGTCATAAATATTCAACAAGTTTTGGCTGGAAAGTCCATATGATGACCCAAGGAGTCGGATCAGGTTTGAGCCTTGGGGATAGGAAAATGTGGTGCACCCACAGGGACAGGGACAAATCTGCCAGCTGGGTGAGCACTGGAAGGGAAGGATTCTGCTCAGAGCTAAATGAGGTTCCCTGTGGAGAGTAGGGACAGGGCCCGGAATGTCCTGCTGGGGAAAAAGGCTGGCATCTGAGCGCTTTCTGGTGCAGTTCAAGGATAGCTGTAGTTGAGCCCTAGGGCTGTCGCTTGTCTGTGGTGCAAGGTGGGTGGCCAGTTAGCTCTGGGAGGACAGCAGAGCGCAAAGAGGAATGAGCAGAGCAAAGCAGAGTGCTCGAAGATGAATAGAAATTAAGCAAATGGAGTAAGATCCCTATGGAAGAAGCAAGGTCAGAAAGCAAAGCGTTGCCCACAGGCAGGAGCCTAGTCAGATCCCTGTTCCCAGGGTTGAGATAGACTGCAGCTCATTAATCCGCTCCACCCTCTGGGGCAGCACTTGGGTGTGTGGAGGAGCAGCGAGACTGCTCTCAGAAAGAAAGACAAATGGGCAAGCCGAGGTCCCATGTCCTGAGCAAAGGTACAGGCTGCTGGGGTGCCTGGGAGCATAGCTGCTGTAGCCATAGGCTGTTTGGCTCATGGTTCTGTGACTTATTAACCACATGATCACACCGTGCCTCAGTTTCCTTACCTAGGAAAGTGATAAGGCAGCTCCTTCCCAGCTGCTCTTTGCAATGGATGACGAGAGCACATGTGTGAATGGTGACAAAGATGACAAGGTATTAAAAGAGATCAGTTCTATCTCCTGGTGGGAAGAGGGTGCAGCCCCGTGAGAGGGAATGAATGAGATTCTTGTACCAAGTCTTCACATATTAATGGGTCTTCTAGGGAACTATGAAAGGGGAGTGGGCATTTCTAGGCAGAGAACCAAGACTCAGGGTATTTGCGGGGAGGGGAGAGGGCAGCGCCTTCAGGGAAAGCAAATGGCTGGAGGAGGCTGCCATGGAAGAAAAAGCCAAGGGCTGACAGGCCACGCCAAAGAGCAATGGGCTCCTGGAGGTGAACAACGGGCCAAGTAGCACTCTGCCTCTGTTCCTCCCTGGCCGAGTGCTGACGGGCAACCAAGTCGGGGAGGGCTAGGCTTAGGAAGTAGCTCATGCAGTCTGATGTACATGGGAAAAACCCACTAGAAGGAGTCACCGTGCCCAGTGGTGATGGGTCTGCACACACACAGTACTTAGGGTGTCACTGCTAAGGTTCTAGTTTCTGACAAAGCCCAGTCTCAACACTTCTGGTGGGAGGTGAAGAAGCGCAGAAGCTAGTTCTAATTTCTCTTGGAAGTCATGGAGGTTTTTGGGGAAATTGGGTTTGAGCTTCAGAAATGATTTGCAATGATAATACAATGTCCTAGAGGTGCCTAGGAAATTACCGAATGGGTAAAAAAAAATTAGTGGAATTAAGGACTTGGAAGCCCAGCTGGAAACCAGGCTGATAGACAAAACTTGAGAAGTGGCAAGGCTAAGTGGCCATGGACCAGCCACGTGGAGAATGAGGCCTCTGGGCCTGTGCTGTGCTCAGCACTAACTTGCTGGCTGTCCTGAAAAAGTGAATGCTGGGAACCCCGTTCATCTCATTGCTTCCTCGGCTTAAACAGTGCTTAGAACTAGGCAGGCAATGTCCCTTCAGGAAAGATTCTGGTGGCCATTAGCAGTGACTGTTCAATTTGAGCCCAAAGGTTCCTTCTCGGCCCCACCTTTCTTCTGGCTATCCAAGTCCTCAACTTCATTCTTTTGTGTCCTTATTAGCTTCATTCCTGGCCTCTCAACTCCTACATTTGCTTCAGGTAAAGAATTCACTTCCATTAGCTAATGTTCAAATTAGGATAAAGTTGGTAATTAGGGTTCTAACAAGTATTTTATTTAGTTATAGATAGGTATCACCCTTTGGATATTTTGAGTTCTTCCTGTTAGAGAAGAAGAAATTGAGTCAGGCCTGGCCTCAGTCAGCAGCAGACTTGGGAAGAGCCCGCCTGACTTCATAGATCCAAGGCACTGCTGGCAGTCAGGCCCCACACACTAGGGCCCGTTTCCCTTTGGCCTTCCCAAGTTACTCAGTTGTTTTCTTGTGTTGGGGCTTAATTTTCTCCAGCTGTCCTCCCTCTCGATGGGCCATCCACTGTGAAGACGGACTCTCAGCACAGTGCGACTACAGGCCAACTCTATTCCCTTTGCTCTTGCCAAGTGAATTTCCTCAACCCCGCAGAGCTGTTAAGGGCTCCCCTCTAACAACTGAGAATGTATGGAGGCAAGAGCTGTGCATGCCATGAAAGCCCACAGAGGAGGTGATCATCCCTCCTGGGGCTCAGCCCACACACCTTAGGGGTGGCCCAACCATTCAGGTTTCACTCTTGCACCTTAATTATGGCAGCACCATCTCAGGTTTCTTCCCACGAGCTGCCTGCATGGCATCAGCCATGGTCAGAAATACCTGCTTCAAGCACTTCTCCCAGTGTCTGAGGGCCACAAGGACGCCTGCCACCTTCTCCCCCGGGGCCCATGCTACCTCCACTGTGGTAAAGTGGTAGCTGGCAGGTGGCTTTCTCTTACCATTCTTCTCAGTTCCGTGCTGCCAGGCTGGCTCCTGCTTCTTTAGCATGTGTCTTTGTTATGGTACCATCTTCCAAATCAACCCAACTTTTAGAAAAGTACCAGTATTTGCCACCAAAGACATGGGCTCCGTGTAGCTGGTGATGTGAAGGCAGCTTCTAGGTCAGAGTGAAGCCCAAGTACACACTCTTAGCTTCATTGTAGCAAAGGGTGCAGCACCACCCTGGGCCACATTCTTCTCGAGGACTGCCCTGCGAGCCCTCCTCCCCCATCTCTAAAAGCATTGGTCTGAGTTGTTCCTCCTGTTGTTGGGCCCCAACCACCCTCCTCGACTACTTCAAAAAGGTCTCTGAGCCATGGTTCATTGCAACTATCATTTATTAAAAAATATATGTCTCCTTGGAAGGAACACTGGTAAACCAACTATTATCATGCTTACTTTGAATCTTTGCTTTTCTTCCCTGGAGGGAGGGCTGAGCATTGTACAGACACGTCAGTTCCCATCAGAGAATCAACACTCCCTGCTCACCCCCCTCATGAGAGTCACAATCATCTGTCGCTTTATCCCTCTTTGCCTTCAATCCAGTGTACTGCCCAAGAGAAAGCTGCTGCCTTTTCTTTCTCCTAGATCTGGGCCCCACATTATGTCACAGTTAGCCTCGTTATGCTGGTAGGATACCTGTGACCAGAGAGAGTTCCTGAATGTGGCTGGTAGTGCTTTAAAGTGTCAACACCGAGTTGCCTGCAATGGTCCTAACCCAGGAGGGCCAAGCAATTCTATGTTCTCCCCTGCGTCATCCCTCCAATGTGGAGGTGAGGGAGGCACATTGGCTTCAAAGGAGCACAGTGGGGTGGGGTAGGGCCTGGACCACACCTGCTGCCTGCACTGGCGGCGGGAGGAAAACTACCTGGACCAGTCACTGCCATCAGACTCTGGGGAAAAAAGCAACAAGATTTCACAGCTCACCAGTAAGCGAGTCTTAGCGCTACAGCTCAAATTTACAGCATTAAAGTCTACTTTCGTCTTGAAGAAACAGTAAGCTACCAGCTGTTGGTGAGGGGGTCGGGGGAGGGCAAATGGAGCAGTTGCAAAAGAAAAGAACCCAAATCCAACTCACTACATGGCTGGCCAAGCCTGGTGCTCTTTCACTGTCCCAGCACAGAGCTGAAAGGCAAGCACCCTGTATCCCTGCCAGTGGCCCCATGAAGGAACCTCCAGCTAAGTCCAGCATGGGAACTCTGAGCCTCAGCTTCTCCTCTCTGCCCTCACCAGCCCCTGCTTTCCCTCTGCTGACTGGATGGCCAGGCCTAAGTTACCTGCTGTATCCCAGGCCTGGCTCCTTCAGAACCTCACAAGCCTTGAGAGCACTGGCAAATAGGATTCTACGCATTCACTGAAATAGGAAAAGGACAATTTGGAGGAATGAGAAGGCCGACACAGTAGCACGACATGGTTTTGGTTTAACAGCAGCTTAGAAATGAACAAAAAGAAAACCTCTCATGCAGACACATCAGGCGGCATAAAACAATAGGCAATTTTATCCGGAGCATCATTAGCCATTCATTCTCTCTTTTCTGCACAGGAACGACTGCCCTGCATGGGCAGCAACTGCTTTCAGTCAAGTCTCCAATTTCAAGCTCCCAGTCAAAGCCCCTTCTCTCATGCTGCAGGTTGGCCCCACCTGGAGCAAACCTTAGCTTTGAAGAGAATGACCAAATTCGAGAGAGTGCTTTGGTATAGCACTTACTACCGTTGTCAAACCCCTTCCCAACCAGGTGGAACATAAGATGTCATCTGATTGGAATATGAAAATTAAAGCATTTCTCTAATAACATAGTACCATTGATGGACATCTCCATAGATTTTCTAGTCCCAATGTATGTGTGTGTGTGTGTGTGTGTGTGTGTGTGTGTGTGTATATATATATATATATATATATATATTATAGAAGAGTGTATAATATATATATATAATTTCTATATATTTTATATAAATTACATATATATATCTATATATAAATAAGATACTTTCTGTCGCCATTACGTTGCACTGTTCAGAGCTGCAAGCCAGCAGTACAGGGTAGAAATGCCCAGGAGCACCTCATCACGTGGGCTCTTTCGCTCACTTCACAAGCTGTGCAGTTGTCCAGAGTCTGTCTTTCCATCAGTCCTCTTCTCTTCGCTTCTGCTGGGTGTTTACGAAAACAACTCTGATGGATTTGCACCTGTGCTAGCGCTTGGGAAAGGTCCATGCAGGAATGGGCACAGTCACATGATGAGTGAGAGAGATGGCATCATCCCAAAAACTTAACTAAAACAAAACAAAACTTTTTAAAAAGAACAGGACTAGAAAACTCAAATTTGACAGTAGTCATTTGTTCTCCCCATGGGGACAAGAATGAAGAGGAAGGAGGGAAGAGGGCTTGGTTTTCTTCTGTTCACAAGAGAATGGTTGGAGGGGGTTCTTCAGAGTTTTTCAGGGGATGGGACCCAAATGTAGTGCACAGACTGGTCCTCAATGATTTGTTTGATTTTGTTATAAATCTCTTCCAGCGAGTCACCCTGTACAATGGCTAAAGTGAAGAGAGAGAGAAAAAGTTATCACTGTGGTCCATAAGCCTCCCCTCTATGCCCCAGCCGTCCTGCCTCTCTTATGATCAACCCTCCTGTAATGTCCCTGGGGATGATGGGCGCTCACAGAAACATGGGTCTGGCTTCTTGTGTTAACTGTCTAGAGTTGAGTGCAGAAGTGTAGTTGGCTAGATGCCCAGAGCCCAGGGCTGGACATCTGGCTGAACTAGGCCAGAGACAGTGAGACTAGCAGTGAATAGGAAATGCATGTATTGTGAAGATATTTACTGAGTACCCAATGCATGCCAGCCACTGAAGCTCCCATTGCTTTTGTCTGCCATGGGCTGGCAGCCTATAATTCTAAAGCAGCTTCACCCAAAGCTTTGGAAAACCCCAGTCATGCAGAGGAAGAGCAGAAACCACAATTTCTGGCAAAAGGCAGAGCTCCTATGAGCCATCACATCTGCTGTGTCAGGGGTCAGTTTGACAAACAAAGACAGAGATATGGATGCTTAAAAGGACTCCAAAGACCCATGGCATGTAAATAATTTCCTAACTTCGTGCACCACCACCGGCCGGCCTTCCCAATCTTCTAAAGTAGGTGACATGCACACACGTGCAGACTGACAGACAACTTAAACACCACACTAAGAAAACATCAACAAATATTTACTCAGCACAAAATTCAAGAAGAAAAGCAGGGAGGAAAAGAGTCGAAGGAACATGCAATCTCACAGCGCAAGAAAACAAACAAAGCAACCTACAAGAGCAGTGTCTGGGAGTGGCCTGTACTAGAACCTGGCTAACTGGTGGCTGACAGGAAACCTGAGTGCTGGAGAAAGGTCTGTGCTCAGTGACTGGAAAGCTCCCCAGGCAGTTTCGCTCTGCTTAAGTCTCCCTGAGCTGGCCTGGCTGATCCCACAGACTCGGGAGTGCACGGACTCCTGGATCTTACCTGTAAAGTACTCTCCAAACTCTTGCTCCAGTTTCATGGCTTTGTCATAGATCTTATTTGCTTGTTCATATGTCTGCCGTCGGTTCATTTCCCTGCCGAAGACATAGGAGCAATGCATTTCTAAAAGAGCTTATGATTTAATTAACACAATAATGTTCTAGAGTTCCTAAAAATCTGCTATACAACACCTTAGAGTAGCGCACGGCAAACTCCTCCTCAAAGCCTTCAAGTCTAAAGCCCAACTGGGAAGGAAGCGCATGCCCAGGCCCCCAAACAGGAGGAACAGCAGGCACTCAGAGTTGGTTTCAGGATTTCTCTGGGTCCTACTCCTGCCCAACACATCTATTTCCTTTCCTCTCCAAGGTCACCTGAGTCCCATGGACACTTACATAAGTGCTTCAATGGACTTGGGCTTGATGAAAATGGCAATGGGGTAAAGTTGTGCTTGCTGCAGTCTCTTTATAGCGTTGCCAGAAACATCTAAGATGCAGTGCTTGCCCTGAAAAAGCAGACCCATATCAGTTCATCCAGTCCCTGGCTACAGGGCCCCACCAAGAAATGAGGGGGTATTCCACACGTCAACTGAGGGCCAACCAGAGAAGTCCTCAAAGCCTATTTTTTTTTTTTGTTTCTGTGGCGGTTCGTCTTCTCTGTTGAATCAGATTAAGAAGTCCCTTGAGATTAGTGAAGCTCTCTGCTGTGACTGTGAGGGCCATCCCAGGAAGGATTAATTCAGGGGAAAGAACTGTCATCCCATGGCCTTGGAAACCCCAGATGGAATAAAAAGGGGGAAAGAAGAAAGCTCCCTATAAAGCAGGTTCTCTGTGCTTCCTGCCTGACATGAGACAAGCAGGCTATAAGCAGCTCCGGCGGGCGTTACTATGCCCGCACTAACACAAGTGACTAGCTTCTGAAGCCATAGCCAAAATCACTGTTTCCTCCAAGTTGTTTTGTCACCGTGACAAGAAGTCTGATGAACACGGCTTCCACAAATCAGAAAAGGTGGTTGCTCCTAGGGCCTTTTTCCCTGTTGCCTGGTGCTCCAATGAGAGTTGCAGAACAGAGACATAATGCCATAACTGGGGGCTTGGCCCGTGGAGAGACACCATGGCTTTGGTAGGCAGTGTGGGAAGGATGTGAATGTGAGTGGATGCCAGGCCTGAGCATTTGTCTTCCTATGGCTCAAGGGTAGCCAGACCACCTCTTCTCTGCTTACCCTCTCTGCAACTGCCCGAACTGACTGGATGCTGGTCCCATAGAGATTATCGTTGAACTGGCCTGCCTCAATGAACTTGTTGTCCTGAATATCCTTCTCCATCTGTTCCCGGGAAACCACAAAGTGGTAATCTTGTCCATCTACTTCATTGTCACGGCGAGGCAGAGTGGTATCTGAAGGGAGGGAGGGAGGGAGGGAAAAAGGAAGGAAATGATATGTGCCTCAAAGAATGATCTGGGCTATAAAAGCCCACTTCATCCTTTCTCATGGGAGGCCACTACACAATTTTTCAGATGAATGAGAAAAAGCATTTGGAAAGAATTTTGTCTGGCCTATTTCTCTTCCAAACTCCAGATATTAAATACAGGGTGCCTGAGGTTAACATGGATCAAAAAGGTAGAGATTCCTAAAACATGGCCTGGTGGAGGGCATAAAACTTGGCATGGGAGTTAGAGAAACCAAACAGATCATTCCTCAAACCACTTTGTGTACTTTGTGTACCTAGGTTTAATCCCCAGCACCACAAAGAAAAACCCAAACAATGATGGGCCTCCTCATTTGTAAAATCAATCCTGACCATCACCGCCCAAACTTTTACTCTGGAGCATAAATCAAGCAGCCAAGTTGGATGTCAACCCTACCAATCCCATGTACTGTGGGTGCATTGTTGCTACTTACTCTCTTCCAGGAGGTCCCCAAAGGCCCTGGTTCTAGACCCTGTCTTAAAGTACATACTTCCCAGAGTACCAAACCTCACTCCTCTGGGTCTGCCTGGGCTCTTACGTGGCACACAGGATCCAAATTTATGAGTGAATTCAGAGATCAGGTCATCATTGACTCGGTCCTTCATAGGGCCCAAGATGATCACGGGCCTGGCATAGTGAACTGGGGAGAGCACAAGACAGTGAGTGAGCAGAGGTCCTGCAGGACAACCTGCCCCAACTCTGAGGACAGAGGCTCTGTGACCACCACTCAGACAAGGTGAAGCAACTATGCCTATTCTCTGGTTTTTAACTATAAAAACTTCAAAGAGTCTTTAAATTTGACAATCTTAGGTTCAGACAAGTCTGAAATCAGATGCATCTCCCTTTCCAACAGAGTCAGGAAAAATTTCCACAGAGGTTCTTGCAAAGAAGATTCCCAGGGGAGGATACAGCCCCCCCTCTTTACAACCACACTGCCTCCGCTGAAACAGACCTTCCATTGCTTTCCTCAAATTCCGCCTGCCCTTTGGAAGGCGTCCTAGCAGTGTGCAAAAGTATGTGCAGCATGGCATATGCCCAGGGATGATAGGGAGGAGCCAACGGCTGGATGTGCCAAGCTTCCTCCTCCCCTGCCCCCTAGCTACCCTCTATACTGAGCCCCATGACCGGGAGACTGGCACAAAGGCAAGACTCTCAGAAGGGGGCTTACTTTCTTGTCGTGTCACTGGCTCATATGACAAAATAGCATCCTCTTGTCCTTCTGCAACAAAAAGGGAAACACATTAGTCCTTTATGATCTGTCTGTACATAGTGCTCACCATAGCCCACACCCACCACAACAGTATCACCTTCTGTTGAAAAGAAGGCTAAGAAGCCATTCACCAGCCTTGGGCTGGGTGGTTTCATTCAGTAAAATATTGCCCAATTTATGGACCAAGACCCAGAAGCCAAGAAGTCTCTACCAAACTATCCCAAGCTCTAGGGAACTACTTACAGGTACTAGTTGGTTATATTCAGTGGCCCCCTTATTCTGAAGAAAACCACAGAGAAGCTCCAAGCGATTGAAACACATCTGCCAGAGTCACTTTACCTGAGTCCACACACTTAGTCCAAGCGCCAAAGCTTCAGCCTAATGTCACCCCTTTGTGGATCTATTTACCCACTTTACACATCTAGGAAGCATTTGGAAAGTGAGGAACATCTGAGCTAAGGCCCCAGTGCCCTTTAAGAGCAACGCTGAGCCTGCTCTCTGCTCATGGTGGACCCCATGCAACCTGGCAATCAAGAAGTCTTCCTAAAACAGTCACCAAGACACTTGGTGCTGGGTGCCTATGTTCCCCAAACTAGCAATGGCTTCTGCATGGAGCCACAGGGTACTTGCTATGGGGCTTCTTCTGAGCCTGAGACTGACTCCTGGGCGGAGTTCTTAAGACCTCTAGTCACTGCGGCTCCTCAAAGGCCAGTGTTCCAAAGCTTGTGAGGTTTGAACCATAGGCACTCCCAAAGCATACTGGACAATTTCCTTCCTATGTAACCCAGTCGGAAGTTAAAGTGGTCCTAGGTGCCCAGAAAGGCAGATGGAAGTCAGAAGCCATTTACTTTTGGTCTCTGAGCAAATGTGTAAACCTGGCAGTCTCAACAGTCTACATGCCTGTGGCAGGGACCTGATCATTGGCAGTTTACCCTTCCCTCAATAGCCCAGGGCTGGTTTCAAACCAGATCCTGGGCAGAGCTATGGGGCTTATTCTCTCTCTAATCTACACATTCCATCCAACAAAGTGAATGAACTGGCCACGGCATCTCCAGGGGCTCAAAGTGTACATGGCTAAAAGGAGCAGCAGCCTCTGAGCAGGGATGGCAGCGGTGCAACAGTGGAATGATGATGGCTGGGAGACATGGGGGAGCTACAGGACATGGGGGCATGACACACACTTACTGGAACTGCTTTCGCTGTCACTGGTGTTGGATGTCACTCCCTCTGCAAGCCAACAAAAAAGAGGCTCCAATTCAGAACACACCACTCAGAGGTCCCATGCAGCACAAACTCAAATGCACCGGGAGAGACACTGAGCTGCCAGTCAAGTCAGGCCACAGGAGGCCCGCCACATCCAGGCAACCAACTGGGAAGCAGAACTCCAATCCTGAGGTTCTGGCCATCTTCTCCATGTCCCCAGAGACCACTCAGTTTGCCAAGTCCCTCCATGGGCACTAGAAGGCTTACTCCCTTTCATAGCATTCTCTTTATCTGAATCAAGCCAGCTGATTTGGATGGCTTCCAAATCCTGCCTCAGAACTCATCTCCTAAGGCTAATGGGCAGGAGAGAAATAGGGCAGTCAAAGAGAAAAGTCTAGGCATGCTGCTGCCCACACATTTCCTCCCAAGACAGAGTCGCCAAAAGTACAGAATCGGGTGACACTCTCCAACTTAGAGGCTTATCACTGGATGATGGAACAGTCACCAGGTACACTACACTGATCTTCAGGAGGACCCATAGCCACCTTTCTCCCATTGCTGAGGAAAACTTGGCTTCAGCAGTGGGGGGGGGTGTATGTGTCTATCCACCACAAAACACATGTCAGATAGAAACAACAAGCCAGTAAGACTATCTGGAAGACAAGCCAGCCCTCCCATCACAGACAGTTGGGGCCAGCCCATCTTGGAGTGTGGGTGGAGAAAGCTCAAGCAAAGAGCTGCATTCACAGGAGGCACAGACATGGCAGCCCTCTCAAAAGAACAGCAGGCAAATGGAAATGAGACACAGACACACCAAACATGGAGAGACGCTGCTCGTTTCAGCCAGGACCATAATATGCTGTGCCCACCTCCCTAAGGACTTGCTGAGTTGTCGTGACACATGGCTCGGCCCTGAATAGCCCCCAAGGACAGTTACTGTGTCTTCCACCTTTATCTTTTACTGAGGGAAAACATATGTGGACAGAGTCCACCCATAAGGCTGTACTGTGGATGTGTGCAGTAAGCAAGGGTAGCTTCTAAGGAACCTTCATCTAGGCCCTCCTAGTCCTCAATCTGGACTAAGTTCTAGAATAAAGATGTCAGTTAGAGCATTTCTGAGATAAAAGCACTAACTATACATGGACCTTAAGTGGTGCAGGTGGCCCCACAAGGCCATCTTGGTCCCTTAGAGATGCTCTATGGACAGCTGGCCTTGGCCTCATGGTAACACCTGGACCCCCTGGGACAGCTCAGATGTGGGGTTCACCATGTCTCCGGTTAGAAGGACTGGAAAAGCTGCAGTTCCTAACCTTGACTTTTTGATGTAGGGTTACTTGGAGAAAATGCAAGCAACAGGTCCCCACCCTCCCCAGGAAGCTAAACATCAGCGAGCACGCACCCTGTTAACGCACCTAGACCCAGCCACCGAGCTCATGCCCTACCACTCAGAGGTGTAGGAGGAAAACACAGACAGGAATGCTAGAGATTTGTTAGAATACCAGGGACAATGGTATTGAAGCCACACACATTTCCTTCTGCCATGGGAAAGGGTCTCACAAACACTGCCCTCCCTCACCCTTTTACCCATGTGCCCTACACCCCCACTCCCATGATCTCCACTCATGCCACAAATACAGTTAATGGTGTGTATGTTTGACTTACTCAGGTTCTTTGCTCCATAATAATCGTCACTTAACCCAGGGAAGTCCTGATTTCACAGACAGCAGGGACAGAAGGGGTACAGGAAGGGGAGGGAGGGACAAAAAGGAGAAAACCGGGGAAAAGAGAAAAAAACAGAAAAACGAGGGGAAGGAAGAATACAGAGGCAGGTGAGCATCAGCGATAGGAGTATAAAGTCCAATGAAGACTTAGAACTACAGTAAAGTGAAGTTATCTGCTGAAGAAAGAATAGCCCATGTCATATAAGATATCTGGCCCTGGTGCTATTTGGCTTGTGGCCAAAAGGCCTTGGAGTAGACAGTCTTTCTGACGTAGTCTATATCCCATATACCCATAGCCTACAACAGGCAACACTCCAGGGCTTAAAAACACCTTCTTTGATCAAATTTATGTTGTAGAGGCCAGGTCTCTGCTTTGCCCCTGCAACACATCTCCCATTGGTGCATGAAAGAGACACGTCTATATGCCAACTGTGCAGAAAGAATTATCACCCCCTGGGAACGTGCCACCATACTACCCCAATCTGTCCAAGCCCTTCAAAGCAAACTTCTCTGTGGTGTGGTATCCAAAGCTCCCCAAACTGGGTTTCTGGAAAACAGGCACCAAAAAATTGCAACCCTATTGGCCAATGGGCACCCCCAACTGGCTAGGCCATTAAACAGTGACATCTCCCCAGGCTAGGCTCCATGAGGAGGTTCTGGGCTTATCTGGTAAACTGTGGCAACATTATCTCAGATCTTTGTCTCAGGTTCCCACTGCTCATGAGCAGAATCAACCTCCTCTGTCCCCTGCCACTGAGCAAGCCCAGGACAGTAAGCCCTGGTCTTCATTTGGATGAAGACACCTTGTCCTATCAAGGTTATCCCAAGTGGCCACAACCCACACATATCACAATCATGAACTAGGTGGGCCTACTAGGGGCCATTTTCTAACCAGAACTAGTCAGTCTCCTGTCAGATCCCACACTCCTAGATGACAAGATTGCTCCATGAAAGATGGAGGAGTGATTGGTAAATGAGAGACATCTACAATTCACAATGTCACAATGACATGAATGAGAACCTACTGTACAAACCTGACATGGTATTTAAGGTTACTGTCAGAGCAACTAATTTCTGAGGCATGTGGTAGGGTAAGATGATGTATCAGGATTGAATTGGTTCCTAAAGCAGCCTGTTCTACCAAATTAGCCTTGTGTTTCTCAATAAATCTTTATTTAGATAATGCTGAGCAACAAACACTGTGTCCACATCAACTCATGTGAGCAGGAATATTTTCTTGTGGTAACTAACGCTGCATAACAGGAAGCCTGCCATGAGTCACGTGGGTACCCTTACACTTGCATATGTGTGTGCATTCCAAAAGCAGCCCCCAACTTTAGAGATCTGGGGAGGGACAGGCTCTTCTCTTAACAAGCATGAATGAAACTGCGGGAAAGAAAACATAAAATGCGGGAGCCAGGAGAGCAACTTAGTTCCTTGATCTTGTTCTCCTGAAAACCCATTTTCTAACCCTGACCCTAGCTGCAAACCGTTCTTTATCACCACAGCACAGCTCTGTCTCACACTTCCAGCACAGGTGCCTGGGCCATCCTCAGAGCCTCCGACATTGAATAAGTGAGGGGCTGTGCAATAAGCCCCAACATCTCCCTGTGCAGTCCAGGTTCTAGCCTGACTAGAAGTAGGCAGGTGCGTGCAGACAAGCACTTGGTGGCCACCGACTCCTTCTAAGGGAAGGGGCAACTGAGGACGAGAAGACAGGGCTGTGAATGGTCTGCTCTCTGGACTCTGCTGCTACTTACGTTCCTGTATGCTGTTCTCCTGGGCCATGTTTTCTTTGCTCTTGTAAAATGGAAACTTTCGAGAGAGACGAAAACTCTTTTTACGTTTCGTTTTGATCGACTGTGAAAGAACATGAAGATGGAGGGGGGAAGGACAAAAGAAAAAAAAACAACAATGGATTTTAAAGCATGCAAGAAAAACTAAAATGGAGACAATGATGAACTAAATAAAAGACCATCTTCCACAAATGGAGTCTATGAGATTAAATGAAAGTTGATGTTAAGAAGAGAATCATGTTTATAGGAAAATGTGGTAGGGATGTTAGATGCTCTGCTTAGTCCAGCATCACTCACTGGCTTCCTACAGAGTAAAGGTCACTGTTGCCTCCTAGACACAGCCCCAAGGTGCCACTGACACAGTCATCTACTCCATGCCTTTCTTCCCTCTACTGCTTCCCAAGTTCATAAGAGAAAATGATGGGAGAGTCCCCTTGCCCTGTGCTGTCTGGAGGCAGGCAGAAGCTCTGGGGCTGGCCCTCGGCAAGATGACGACACCAGGTTCTGCTCAGGGTCTCCATAGCTCTGGCAGGGTCTGCTGCCAGGGAGACAAGCACAAGTGGTTTCATCTTCCCCACCAAGTCAGCCAGCTCCAACCCTTCCAGAATCAGTCACCCAACAGCAGGGCCACACACTAACTGGGCTTTCAGTGCTCCCGCTGCTTGCTGAAAAGCAGGCAATTTCCTAGCAGGACAGAGCCAGCCCCCTGAAAAAGACAGCCTTCCATGCTTCCCAGTTCTCCCGCCTCTCACCCCTCTTTACACCTTGGCTGCCTGCCTTGGCCAGGGGGTCCCCACTTACCCGGTTAGACTCAATCATCCCTGTCCTGGCATGGAACTTCACAGTTTTCAACCGAGCTCGCTCTTTCTTTTCAACCCTGTTTGGAAGTCAGGAAGTTTAGTTATTGCCAGCACATGGGCTCAGCAACCACACTGGCTCATTCAGTCAATACCATGTCCCAAGTCCTGACTCTTTCTAAAAGGCCTAACAAGGCCTATACAATGCTCTCAAGGAACTTACAGTATGACAGGCCAACAAAGATAAATAACAAAGCCTGAGCCGGGCAGTGGCGCGTGCCTTTAATCCCAGCACTCAGGAGGCACAAGGCCAGCCTGGTCTACAAGAGCGAGTTCCAGGACAGGCTCCAAAGCTACAGAGAAACCCTGTCTCAAAAAAACAGAAAACAAAAAACAAAAACAAAACATCAAGCCTGGTGAGCTGGAACACAACTGATTCCTAGTACTCTGGAGGCAGAGGCAGTAGGATTGCAACAAGTTTGAGGCCAGCCTAGGCTAAACAGGAAGTTCCAGGCTAGTCTGTGCTACAAAGTGAGACATTGTCTCACAAAACAAATAAAGTAACTAGAGAGAGAGAAGGGAGGGGGGGTGGCGACGACAGAGGGGGGGGGGAGGGAGAGGGAGAGGGAGGGGGGCGGAGAACACAACAAGTCAGAAAAGGTCTTGCTAAAAACCTTGACAACTCACCTCTTTTTACTGGGGATCACACCAATCTGCTCACTCTCTCCATGTGGAGTCACCAGTCGTGCTTGCCACCACTCATCATCAGAGGCATTAATGACGTGCAGAATGTCACCATAAGAGAAACTGAGTCCCTGACTTGGCAGGCAGCTGTCGCGGGTCCGATCATAATCAAACAGGGCCCTGAAACACATGAGAAGTGAAGAGATCACCCCACCCCTGAATTCTGGGAGGCTGGCAGTCAGACAGGAGAGGAAAGAGAGGCAGCCCAATAACAGCCCAGGTATAGTAGTCTTGGCAGACAGAAAGACCCCGTGAGATGGTAGCCTTTCAGTCCCCAGTGAGTAAATATATACCTGCATTTCAAAGAAATGTTCCCCGGTGAACATAAGGGGAAATTCTTTCACAAATTCTATGTTCTCCCAGCTTCTAGATAGACAGTAGCAGCCCAAAGTAGGACCTGCTCAGCTGTCTACTCTCTACTCTCAAATGCAGTAGGATGTAAGAGCAGGAGATTTGGAAGCAAATATAAAACAAAGCTCCAAAATTCAAGTCTTGGGGAAGCTAGCTTCTCACCACAGCTTCTTGCTCTGGAAACAAACACACCTGAGTAAACTATCCATCCCAGCTTATAGTAACTCTGAGTGTGTAGGGCCAGCACAAATAGGGGACTTCAGTAACAAGCTCTGATCAAAAGCCCTTTAATTCTCAATGCATACACTCCAACAATAAGAGCAGAGGCAGAGGCCAGCAGACAAGGTATTTGGTCTATAAGGTCTTTTCCAAGCTCTATGTGTCAGGACCAGACTCAATGCATTTGAAATGAACTGAGTTCCATGCAACCTAAAGCAAGGCAGGCATCTGTCAGCTGTTCTACAAAGACCCACAAGCTGGAGCAACCTAATTCTAACTGATGAGCAATACATAATAGCATTATGAGCTTCAAAATTGGAGAAGAACAGAATTTGTATTAAGCACACTTTAGTTTAGAAGTTTGGAGGAGGAGCAGAAAGATGTCAAAATGAATCAGGAGTTGGGTATAGTGGCCCAGGCTGGTAGGTCACAGCACTGGAGAGACTCAGGCAGAAGGATCATAAGCGCATGGCATACACAGCGTAGTGGTTTAAATGAGGATGGCCCCCATAGGCTCAGAGATTTAATGCTTGGTCTACTTGGTAGAACTGTTTGGGAAGGATTAAGAACTGTGGTCTTTTGGGAGGGGGTGTGTCAACTGAAGGTGGGCCCACACTATTGCCAGTTAGCTATCTCTGCCTGCTGCTGGTTGATCAGATGCAAGCTTTTAGCTACTGCTCCAGTGACATGCCTCCTTTCCTGCAGCCATGCTCCCCACCATGATGGCCATGCACTGACCCTCTGAAACTGTAAGGAAGCCCCCAATTAATGCTTTCTCTTATTAGGTGCTTGGTCATGGTATTTTTTCACAGTAATAAAAAAGTAACTAAGACAACCAGCAAGATCCTGTCTCACAAATTAAAACCAAAACTAAAGCCAAACAAAAGAATTAAGGTAAACTAGAATGTACATGTATAAGAAGGCAGGGTTGACTGGGTAGAAATATAAGGCATATTTTAGCACCCAAAAAACAGGGCTTGCTTGGCCTTTGTTAACAACAATAGCAAGCTGGGGAACATAGGAGAAAGTAATATATTTTCTAGAATCCAATAATTTGTCAGCTTAAAACATCTGAAGGTTTTACTAAAACTTCATGACATCTTCCAAGATAAGCTCAGGCACTGAACAACAGTAAACAAAGCCTGATCAAAGCCAGCAAGAAAGGCGGCACTTATCGATGCACATTAGGAGCTGTACTGCTCGCTTTGTTTGTAACCACAGCGTGTGTTCCTTTTACCATTTCCAAAAATGTAAGTCGATTAAAGAAGAAATTGAGAAACAGCTCCACTAAGTACAGGCTTGAGTCTTTTACTTCAGGAGAGGCTCTAAGTTCCCCGGCAAATAAGGTCAAAAGTTACATAACTCCAAATTCCCACTAAAAAGTAGCACCTGTTCCATCTGGATTTTGTTTGACAGCTTTATGAATGATGGGCAAGCCTACACCAAAGACAGGGATGGACAATGCTTTTAAGCCACAGCTTTGTTAAGGACACAGGAACATGAAATCTCAGTTTGAAATTGTAACTTATATATGCAGTTACAAACCCAAAGATGAATAAAGAATTTCCTTTTCTATCAATCAGGGTTGCCAATAGGAAAATAACTCAGCAGAACATTGGGCCCTCCAAGTTCACTTTGTCCACTTTCCTGTCTAAAGGGGGGAATTTCTTACACATTCTTGGAGCTTCTTTCTAGCTCTAGAGCTTGCTGAGTCTGGATCTTTCCTTCAACAATTCCTTGCTTTGTCCTGATTTTGATCTGTTTTCCAAACCCATGATATGGCCTTTTCCTTTAAGTCTACTCCTCCTCTTTTCCTGCTGAAATTATGTTATGCTAAGAACTAGAAGGCATCCTCCTAGATGAAGGTCAGACCCAGCAGTACACAGGACAGCATTCTGCACTATCAGATCAGGACCCTTAAATGTCAAAAAAAATGTCATGAGGTCTAAGTCATAGCCAGGTATCTTTAAAAATAAACACACTAATTTGCCATATGGCTATATCTATAAAATACCATTCCTTCATTATTTACGTACATTTGGAGTATTCTTTCTGCAGGCATTGTGTTAAATAGGAGAAGCACAAAATAATGTTGTGCTAGGTTTTTTCTATTTGCATTTTGGATTGACAGAAAAAAAGCTCTTATTAAATCTTTAATATTCTTAACTGAATGGCCTAGCAGAGCATGCTCTCTGACAGAGGAGTACAGCACACTGAGTGTGGTGCAGCAACAAGCACAGAAACGAGGCAAAGCAAAGCCTAGAGCATTCCCAGGGAGTACACAGCACCTGAGAAGCAATAAAACGGTATTGATTTTTGAATAGAGTCTCAATAAAGGTTCAAGATTTCCAAAGGTAAAGATAAGGAGAAAATAGTCTCTCTAGGCAGAGTAAGCAAAGACCAGGAAGGAAGAAACAAAAGGTATGGGCAAGCTTCATCATTGCATCCATATCTGATTGGGTCACAGTGAAGAGCAGCTGGACTGTCCAGCTGAGGGGTGTGACATTCACTTACTAGGCCTGTGTAAGCCACTTCATTGCCTTGACTTTTTCATTATCATCATGTTATGCTTTCATGTGGAAATGAACACAGCAAAGGAGAACAAGCCAGGGGATTAAAGTCAATCTCTCACATAGCATGCTTCATGTAGCCAAAAAAGGTATATAAATTAAACCTTAATAAACATTTAAAAAGATATCAGCAATCATCTAAGATCTTTGAAAAGCATGCTATGGGCTGGAAACATGGCTCAGAGGTTAAGAGCACTTGTTGCTCTTGCAGAGGACCTGAGTTCTGTTCTTAGCACCCACATGGTAGGTCATAATGAATCCAGTTCCAGGAGACCGGACCCCAGCTTCTGACCTCCACAGGCACCAGGCACACAATGATACACTTATGTATCTGCAGGCAAAATACTCATGCACATTAAGTCTTTTTTTAATCTAAATTTTTTTTAAGAAAAAGCATGCTAAACTGGGAACATCTAACACGGCTGCTGAAGAGAAGGGAGTCATTTTCTTCCATGCCACTGAGAAGTTCCCCAGGCTCCAGTAAATAACTCGCCATTCACGCTCATGCAAGCAATAATAATTAACCTCAGTGGGTCACAAACAAAAGGGACGAGAGAGGGTAATGGGGGTGACAACTGACCAAAATACATCTCTCTCCCTCTCTCTCCTCCCCCTCACACAAATATATCCTTATGAAATTGCCAACGAATTGAAAAGAAAATTGTGGCCTTCTATCAGCAACAGTCAGTCAAGCAGCCTAGAGTCCTAAAAAAGTGATGGTCCAAACCTTTTATTCTAAGCACCTTCTTCATCCATGACCCCCATAGTTCCTCCTCTCCACCTTTAGCCTAAGGAAGTTAAGATAGATACTGGCCCCCTTTTAAGTCAAACTGAATCACTGCCACAGAACTGAAGTTTATCACATGCAAGGCCCAAATGACACAGAACCATTTCAACATCTGATTCAAAGAGACAGAAAGAAAGAAAAAAAGAAAGCCAAACCTTTGTCTTCACACACCTAAAAAATGACATAATAAAATGAGCTGCCACTGTGTGTGTACACAAAGAAGCTTGCCTGTGGATGGCTGTGTTGAAGACTAAAAGACTGAGAACCCCCCCTGATGGAGGAAGGTCATTGGCTAATAAAGGCACTTCCCTGGCCCATTTTATTGGTTAGAGGATAGGTGGGAGGAGTAAACAGAACAAAATGCTGGGAGGAAGAGGAAGTGAGCTCAGAGACTCCACAGCTCTCTCGGGAGCAGACGCCTCAGAGAGAGACGCCATGCCCGGCTCCCGGGATGAAGCTCCGACCCAGGATGGACTAGGCTAGAATCTCCCTGGTAAGCGCACCTTGGGGTGCTACACACAGATGATTATAAATGGGCTAAATTAATATGTGAGAATTAGCCTAGAAGAGAATGGGCCAGGCAGTGTTTAAATGAATACAGTTTGTGTGTTGTTATTTCGGGCATAAGCTAGCCGGGCAGGCGGCTGGGGTGCCAGGGATGCAGCCCCACCACCTCCCCTATTATTACACCCCCCCACCTTTTTTTCTCTTAACTTTTTTTTTTTTGGTTTTATTCAAAGACAGGGTTTCTCCGTATAACAACCCTGTCCTGAAACTCACTCTGTAGTCTGGGCTGGCCTTGAAGTCACAGAGATCCACCTGTCTCTGCCTCCCAAGTGTGGGGATTAAAGGCGTGCACCACCGCCATCTGGCTCTTAACTTCTTTTTTAACTTAACTTCTTCCTCAATTATTATTATTATTATTAGTAGTAGTTGTTGTTGTTGTTGTTATTCACAATGAATGTCACAGCACATTGTGGAGATCCCAGAACAATTTTGTGGGGTTGGTTATCTGCTTTAATTAACCTTTAGGTGGGATCCAGCCAATCAAATTCAGGTCATCAGGCTTCAATGGGAGACACCTTCCCCCCTAGCCATCTTTTTGGCTCAATAAAAAGAATTTTAAGAAGTTAAGGTTAAGTTAATGATCAGTGATGTCACTAAGAAACACTATGTTATGAAAGACCAAAGCT